TTTGCCGGTCTCGAGATGAAAAATCGGTACAGACGAACACACAGACACACACACACAGACAACCTCCCGTCAATATGCGTTTTCTGCATTGCATAGCTGCAAAAACGCATAAAAAGAAAAAACTCACCAGAAGATGGCATCAATATCATTGCTCAGGAACCATTTTCTCCAGGCATCGATTTGCTGCTCGGACAATAAATCAGCTTTGTTGATCAAAAAAATATTCTGTTTCGCTACATCACATTCTTTAACATAAGCTTCCAGATCTATGCTCCGAAAGAGCAGTGGATTTCTGGCATCCAAAATCTGGAAACACAGACTCTGTGAATTTAAAGCTACGCTAAAAGTAGCTGAGCCGTTAAATTGGAGAAAAACGAACCTGGACAACGATATCGCTTCGTTCAATTACTCGCCAAAGTTGTCGCCATAATTCTGGATTTCGTTCGAACGGAGTCAGCAGAACACCATCGTCCTTAAAATACTTTTTATGCGTTTTGTGCTGTGTAACAGCGTTACAAAATGTATGTTGTCACGGGGTTGTGTGTCTGTTTGTGTGTGTGTGTGTGTGTGTGTCCCACATTTTGTCCCGCATTTTCAACTTGGGAACCACAAAAGCTAGGCAACTGAAATTGTGGTATGGTGTTCCCCGCCAACGGGTGACGCGGCAAATTTAAATTCAGCCTTCCCGTATCCGCGGGTAACACGTACGATCCCGTGAGAGTTTTTTACGGGGAAATTAATATCTCAGGAACCATGGAGTCTACAAGGCTGAAATTTTAGGGTAATGACCCCGCTGCCCACGCCCGACCTAGCCTACTCAAATTCTGCGTTCCCGCGCTCTTGCGTATAACCTACGGCCTAGTGAAAATTTTGGCGGATAAACTATTAACTCGGGATAAAGATATTTGCCCTTCAAGGTTTCGAATTCAGCTTTCATGCGCGGGTGCGTGAAATTTTTAATTATTTTCCAATGTTTGAACTGTTTTTGCATAGACTAAAGTACAAAGCAGTGAAAATCATTAATGGACAATCGTTCGATGGGCGGAATTACACAAAATGCATGATCGCACCGGCTAGTCTGGTGCGCGTTGCTATTTATTTAATAAAAATACTTTCTTAAATAAAAACACTTTCTTAAGAAAATTACTTTTTTAATAAAATTCTTCTGCACTTTTAATTAAGCTTACTGAGATTCAATGTTATAAATAGGCCGATCACCACATGCAATAACAACGATCCAAAAAACTACGAAACTAAATATGGTCCTCGACCTCACGTAGTTTCACGCATCTTCAGTAACGGCAACCAAGTAGTTCAGTAAGAAAAAGACTTAAAATTATTTTTTTGCTACAAATTTCCTTATCATTATGACCGTTAAAAAATGAAATTTTATCTTTCATTATTGAACTTATAAATATCTTTTGATATTTCTAACAAGTATATAATTTTATCTTTATCCTCAGTATCTTTTGTCTTTATCTTTTGACAACTTATCGTTAATATCTTTTAACATTTTTAATAAATATACAATATATAATTTGACATTCTAAAAAACATACACATTTAACAAACATACAATGCAGTTTAACAAATATGATTAGCTCCGACAACGGGGACTGAGGATGTTCCGCATGGGAATAAAGGGATTTGACTATCGTAGATCTCATCTACGGTGGGAAAAGTGGCGAGAGGATAGGCAGTCTGAGAACGAGGGAATCGGACTCCTGTCGGAGATCTGATCTCCGCTGGGAACGTCGATTCCCGACGTCCTATTGGAATGTTATCAAAAGATGACAAATCATTTATTTTATTCTGGGTTTTTATCATTAGGGCTGAGCTTTTAAATCAGTGCCACAAAAAAAAAAAAAATAAGATAAAATAAAACAAACTTCCTGCAAATCAGCAAGATTTCTGCGCCATTCGAGAAAATATTCATTTTCGAGTTTCGTTAATTCTTCAGCCGTGCTCCACAGATGTTTTGGTGGCCGTCGAGGTATCCGAAGACGATCACCATATTTTTGATTCAACTCCGCTAATGTACTGCTCGCACTGAGTGTGCTCACGACGGTTTTAGAACTTTCCCTGCAATTTATCAACGTGGAATGTTCTTATACGATAAAGAAAATTTGTTAAAAACAGAAAGAAGCGATGAAAAACCCGAAAAAATCTAAAAAATTGCATACCTGAATAATGAAATGA